GGGGGGGGGGGCAATGGCGCGGTGCTTTAGGCCCCGTGCCCGCGATTAGTGCAGTCCACTCTGGAGACATGCCCAGAGCGCAGCCCCCGGGGGTCACACCGCCCCTCATGCACGCCATCCGCCAGACCGTGAGCGAGTTCTCCGAGAACACCTCGATCCACGGCGTGCGCTACATCGCGGAGCATGGGCGACGCTGGGTGGAGCGGTTCTTGTGGATCGTCACGGAGATCGTGTGCGGCACGGGCGCGGCCTACATGCTCATGAACGTCCTCTCCAAGTTTAACGAGAACCCCACCATGATGAGGGTCGAGTCGTACTTTTACGAGGTGTCCAACGTGGCCTTCCCCGCCATCACGCTCTGCAACGTCAACAGGATATTCCGCTCCAAGGCCCAGAACTTCGTCGACAATTTGTACGTCCACTTTAGGTGGCTGAACAGCCCCACCGGGTTTCGCTCACTAGCAACAGGAAATTGTCGACACCGACAAGTAGTTTCCTATTACTAGGACCGTTGTTTGTACCGGGTGATTCAGAGAAGACGCAGGTTCGGGCGGGTTTGCCTATCCTCGACTCGGCGGGCTCACGGGTCCCCTCCTCACCTCTCGCCAGACCTGGACCCGTGCGCCCGCCGAGTCGAGGATAGGCAAACCCGCCCGAACCTGCGTCTTCTCTGAATCACCCGGTACCTCATGCAGGCTGTTCGGGTAGCCTATTCGCTCGGGGGCCGCAAGGTGCCTAGGTCCGAGAGGGTAGGCAACCCGGTCGCGCGCGCCTGAACACTGTGCAGCATAACTTCAAAAGTAGCAATAAGTTTCTCAATGGAGCAATATGGCAGGAAAATGCCGGAGGGCTACCCGATGGCGCGGCAGGACATCATGGAGCTGCTGCCCCTGCTCGGACAGCTGCTGTCCTTCTCGGAGCTCGGCTCGGACCTCGTGGGCCGGGAGCGGCTGGTGCGCCTGCTGACCTACAACAACGTGACCTCGGACGTGCTCACCGAGAGCCTCAGCCAGCCCTGCGAGGACCTGATCGAGCGCTGCAGCTGGGAGGGGCGGGAGGTCAACTGCAGCCGCGTCTTCACCAGGACCATGTCCTACCTCGGCTACTGCTGCTCGTTCAACGCGGACCGGGACTTTTCGTAAGTGTCGGCCTCAACGTCATTGCCCCCCTCACCTACAAAAAGAAAGAAAGAGAAAGAAACATTACTCCAACCGGTCCAACTCTTACTTGTTTACAGGTTACCGGAGAGGATCGACCCCAACGTAAAGAGAAAACCCCTCAAGACGACTTTCTTCGGCTACCCCCTCGGACTCACGGTCCTCCTCAACCCGCAGGTTGACGATTACTTCTGGGGACCGTTCGCTTCCGGCGGAGTGGTGGTAAGCGTCGAGCATTGAGTATTAGCCCAGCCGCGCACCTACAGACAAGGGACTGTTCAGAAACCACGTGAACAGTATGGGGGGATCCAAATATTACGTGGCCCCAAAAGGTCCAGGGCCGTCACTGGAGTCAATAAACGCATGATATTTTTACCCAGGGGTACCAATAACATGGGGTCTCCTTGGACTCCAATGGTGGCTTGATCCTTTTTGGACCCCATAATATTTGGAGCCCCGCCCCCCTCCCCCACAAAAAAAAAAAAACAAAAAAAAAACAAAAAACAAAACGAGCGTGGTGCACGACAGCAACGAGATGGCCACGGAGGGCTCGAGCCAGGCCATGGTGTCCATGGGCAAGGAGTCCATGGTGCAGATTCTGCCCACCCTGCGCACCGCCAGCTCTTCCCTCCGGGACGTGACGCCGGAGCGGCGGCGCTGCCTCTTCGACGACGAGACCATCCTGCCCGACACCGCCGAGTACAGCTCCGACGTCTGCCTCCTGGAGTGCGAGGCGTCCAAGATCTGGCGCGCATGCAGCTGCCGGCCGCTCAACTTCCCCCGCATCTCCGGGGTGAGGGGGAGGTTCTGCGGCCTCAACAAACTGGCCTGTCTGGCAAAGTACCACGGTGAGGTCTCCCGTCCGCAAATCTCACTGGTGAAAAGCGAAAGGGGCGTAAGTCCAGTGGGAAGCCCGAGGACTTACGCCCTTTTCACTTTTCACCAGTGATCTCTACTCGGGCAGATGGGTATGCGAGATCACTTCAGCTAACTTGCTCACATTTTCCAGAGGAAAAACACGAGTACATGGTCAAGTCTCAAGTTCCGAGCAACAAGCTACCGGTCGAGCCCGCTCCAGGTATGTACTGTCACCGGTCCACCAGACCCAGTGGACCACAAGGCCGTTTAGGATGCGCCTACAATGAACACCCCACGAGTTAGCGCGCGGAGACACTGGGTCCGTCGTTCTCTCGCGTGAAGTTCCCACACTCGGGTGCTCTAGCTGGGCCGCCGAGTTCGCAGAGCTGTTTGGCGGGTTGGCCTACCCAAGGCGCCGCAGGGTCGCCTTGGGAAACGTTCATTGTGGGGACACCTGGAAGCGAGTTGACATTTGGAAGGCCATTTCAAGCTTGACTGAATGACGCAGCGGACGCCCTGTCCCAAGAGAAGTACCAGTCGTGCGGGTGCATGGCGCAGTGTACGTCCGTGGACTACGAGCTGGAGACGACGACATCCAACTTCGGGGCCTCCCGCTGGGTGCGCAGGAACTTCTAGTGAGTACACCCCAGCCCACACCCCGCCCCGCCACCTCCCGCATCACTCTTTCCCCTCCTCCAAGTACAAGTCACTCTGTTCTGACCGGACCCGCTCGCAGCAAAAACCTGAACGCGACGAATCGGAGCCTGCTGCACGTGTACTTCGACAGTCAGACGGCGCCGAAGTTCATCAACGACTTGGTCAGCAACAACGTGCAGCTCATGTGTACGTGTGTGGAGCGTGCGGCAGGTGGATACAGTGTGTGGCTTGCGCTATGCTTGCGCTGACAAACGTCTTTGCTCTGGCAGCGTCGTGCGGGGGCATCTTCAGCCTGTTCCTGGGCTGCAGCTTCATGAGCGCGGTCGAGGTGGTGTACTTCTTCACCGTCCGCCTTTGGCTGCTGGTGCGGGGCGAGGGCGCCAATCCTCCCACGACCGCCGGTCCTCCGGGCATCTCCCCAAACGACACGTGAGCTTTCGTGATTACCCTGACCTCCAATAATGCCGGACGCAAACCCGGCCGCGCCAGGGGAGGGGCTGAAGCGAGAGGTGTGTTTTGTTTGACGCAGAAGTCCCACGACGGTGTCCCACGTCGCCAAGCGCCCGAAGGACGACGTCTGGGGATGGGGGAGCGAAAAACCCATCCGACCGAGAGTCTTCTGAAACTTCAGGGAGGAAAAATCGTTCCTCATCTTTCAAACCTTTCCCCGGAATAAGGTGGACAAATCATGCATCTACAAATATGAGCATTACTTAAAATAAAATCGGATCCTTTGTACGGGCTCTTTATATGTCCCTCCCCCTGCCGAACCTATACTGCGGTACTCGTGGTCACGTTATAACAACCCTTCCTTAATGACCCAGGACACTTCCGTTTCGTTTCGCTCCGCCCCGCACCCTGCACCGCAGCTCCGCCGCTGCTCCAGGCTTTCGACGGCCCTATGATCGACTGTCCCGTGCCACGCCGCGCCGCAGGGGTGGAGTGGGGGAAGGGGGGGGGG